ATTTATATATGTGCCTGGGAATATAGGTATACATTAAAATATTTATATATGTGCCTGGGAATATAGGTATACATTAAAATATTTAAGTATGTGCCTGGGAATATAGGTATACATTAAAATACTTAAGTATGTGCCTGGGAATATAGGTATACATTAAAATATTTATGTATGTGCCTGAGAATATAGGTATACATTTGAATGAATATGTTTGTGCATTTTTTAAAAACAATAAATGCATTAAGCGCTTGCACGACTGGTTAGTAATTGAATAGCTGCGCCGATAACCTCCAAGAAAAGTTATTTTATGAAATAGATCCATTGCACAATTTCTACAAGTTTCTTTCCTAAACAGATATAATGCTCTTATGCCAAGAGAAAGCCAAATCTAGAAGAATGGCTGTTTGAACATTTTATTATCTAAAAAATGTTTGTTTAAAATACATTTACTGATCAGTTCCCATATAAGACCTTAGTATAACACCTCTATTGGTCATTTGTACAGTAGTGTCAGTATGAAGCGAATATAAGATTTTGTAATCAAATGGGTGTCTATTTGAAATAAATACTTTGTTCTGTTGCCAAATGACTTATTGGTTCTAAAACATTCTGTTGATTAGTTCTAGAGTAGTGACTACTTGAAATAGATACAATGTTTTGTTATCAGACGAGTATTTGTTGAAAACAAATATACTGATCAGTTCCAGAATGGAAACTTGAGTCTAGCACTTCGATTGACTATTTGCAGTGTAGTGTTTATTTGAAACGGCTATAAACAGCTTTTAATCAATTTTATTTATTTCTGTAATAAATACATTGATGACTTGTCAGTGGATACTATGGATTTACACATCGTCTGTTCATAAATTCCAGATTAGAAGCTGCTTAAAATATATATACAATATTACGTTAGAAGACAGGTATCTATTAAAAAGAAATATATTATTCAATTTCCTTAGATATCTTTCGACTACATAACAATAAGCTTAATTGGAAAAACTATAGTTTCCACAAATATGTATGAATAACTAAAAACTTGCTGTTTTATAGGCTGCCATCAATTTTATTTATGAAAAATAAACAAGTTAGAGGCGATTGTAGGAAAACTGGCAAACAACTGGCACTGATATTTCTAGCCACTGTTTATGAGTGCTTAGGCAGTGTAACACATCTTTACATATACGCTAAGCACATGATGTTCAAAGATTTATTCAATGCACTCAAAGCCATGCATGAACAATGGTTGTGAGGGTTTTTCATGTTACAAGGAAAGTTGTCAGTTTTTACGTATCTGATTTATTTATTTAAAAAGTAATTCTTATAATAGGTATTACATGTATCTACGTTGCTAGACGATGTGGCGACAGTATATGTGTTCTAGGTTTTTTGTCATAAAACCAAAAATGTGTGTTCATGGATTATCTGAAATATATCAGACTGGAATCATATATTCTGGGTTATCTTATTAACTGACTTAAATTTCTCTCCTCTTTTGAATAAATACATCTGTGTAGTAAATTTAAGTAAGCTTTGTTCTAAGGTTCTTCCCCTTTTAAATAAATACGTCTGTGTAGTAACTTTAAGTAAGCTTTGTTCTAAGGTTCTATTATATGTTCATACCAAATAACAATTTAATTGATAAACCCATGAATCTCAAAAATATTTAAAATGTTCCCTAAAAATATTAAATTACCCCAAAACGTTAATTAGATGTTAACTGTTTTATTAATATTTTATGTTGTCCAATTTAAGAGCACTAAAGCTTTAAAAAGTTTAAGTTTTGAAGTGATTTTTTTAAGAAAGCTAACGTCTTCTTTTATAATTTAAACACGAGCACATGGTATTAAAATTAAAGAAAAGCAATGTTTTACCGTGATTTTTTTTTTTAATACAGTTTACTGCAGAACGTATTCACTTTAATTTTTATGCTCGCAACTATCTCGTCTGCCTCCAAGGTTAGACGGCTTCTCTGAAACACATTCAAGCTACAACAGAAGTTTGCTATTTCGGATTGATTATTGAAATTCTTGAACTTTTCAGAAATTAATTTAATAGTTAATATATATTTTCCAGGAGAGAGAGCTGGTATGCTTGTTTCCAGTTCGATATTAGCCGTATTTATTGGTTCTACAGTTGCCTTGGTCTTCTTGGTAATAATCCTGATTATCGTGATCAAAATAAGAAAGAGGAGGATACTGAAAGGTAGTTTATATTGTGTTATGCTATGTATGAACTTGTTATGTAAAGTTAAGTTCAGTTATTACTTCTATAGCTTCTTTTTTTAGGGAAAAAAACGGCATCTCCTTGATAGATTGGACAAAAAATATCTAATAAAAGCGTAAGTTTGCTCAGTTCTATGTTATTGCACTTGGTTCTTTCATTAACTTTATTAGAGATATGTAATATCACTAATGCTTAGTTAAATACAACAGGAAAAATGCTACTAAATTATCATATATTAATACATATTATATGTAATCCAATTTTGATTTAAATTTATTAGATTTTTCTATTTTATTTTAACATCAGCTCAACGAGAGAGCAGTGCAAGAGACAAGTAAGTGTGATTTCTACATGCATCTTCAGAAATCTAAAATATAGAAGAAATATATATAAAATCAACAGCTAGTTTGTAGGTTTCATTTTATCTGTTTAATGTCAAAGCAATAAAAGTTAAAGCTTTACCTTTTAAAGTTAGAAATTACTTTCAGTACTTATTCTAAATGTATTACATAAAAAAGTATATAAAATCTAACTCACAGTTTTATATACATATATAGTATACATATGACAAAATTAAACTACACAGTTTATTATATATATATATATATAGTATACATATAACAATATGTATACTATACTATACTCTCTGCGACGAGATAAAGACAAGTTTAGTTTATCAACATAATATATAATAACAGAGTTACCACTGCATTGTGCAGGTTTTTTCAAAAAGGGGGAAAAATCGAAACATTGAGCAAACAAAAATGTATAATTTTCTGAATAAAAAAAATGTCCTTTCGATTTCCTTTAAGCAGGTCATTTGAAAAGGTCTTCTGTACGAAACAATCCGTTTTTTCGAGATTTAATCTGTGATATTGTATTAGATGCAAAATTAAATCAACAAATATTTAGCATCTTCTATGATTACATACAAAATCAATGTCTAGAATAATAAACCAGCAAAGACATTCGTAATGGTTAACACTTTATTGGATATAAAATATAAATACCTTCAGGCTAAAAGTATCTAGTAAACGATACACTGAAATGTACTATAAATATTTGTTTGATTCCATATACACAGATATGTATATACACATGTACTGTTCACTTATGTAGGATAACTGAAAATATATGTACTGTACTAACTAAATTAGATATTCAGAATTTGGTGGTTCATCCATTAATAGTGTAAGTCAGAGTCCTCCAGAATAATTTGACTCTCCAAATATATTTTCATATATTACATAATCTTGCCTCAACGAGACTCACGTGTAAGTGTATTTACTGATTTATTTGTATAATTTTCTTGATCACATTTATAATTAATTCCGACATATATTGTTGTAGATTAGAAGTACCGCTAAAGAAAAACGTTGGTGACGTCAGTGAAGGTCCAGATATAATACCTGCTAAGAACTTGAACAGGGAGAGGTATTTAGGTACGTAAAAAATACAGCATCGTGAAATTCAGGATGAAAGTTCGAACGGTAGAAAACCATGAATTCAATGTTGAACTTGCACACGAAGTAAGAGTATCACAGTTTGATATAAATATACAGGTTAGCGAAACTAAATTTATTAAAAAATATTATGAATAATGTGAGCTGAGCTTTGCCCATTTATCTGTCTAAGCACAGTTACACATAACTGACGGAACTAAATGATATTATTAAAATGTATATTCCTTTAAATGAATGATTATAAACTTACGTTTATCAGTTGCTTTGAACAACTTGAAAATATCTACAAGTAGCATTGCCTGTTTCATATTCAATACATCAGCTTTTTTGTAAGCCACATTTCTTCCTTTCAATTAATTACTTAAACTGCGCATTTATTACGAGCGGTATCGTCTACTCAAACACAAGTAATGATGTATATTAATAAAAAATTTTTAACCGTATGGCAATAGTTGAAGACGAGTTTAATCCTCAATCTTTCCAGTTAAAAGTACATACATGTATCTTCAACAGGCTGTAAAAAGGATCCAGAAGAAAAGTGTATCCAGCTACACGTTACACCTTCTTCAACACAAAGTTATTTTGTCAAAGAAGAGTTAATGATTAGTAGTCCTTCGTCAAGTAAAGAGGTCATTTACCTTCCCGAGATATCATATAGAAGTCCCATCCACAACCTTGGGGTTAGGTCACAGGGTAGAGCTTCACCACAAGTGAGTTTCATATGCTTCTGCTTATCATATGTTGATAAAGTTCATGATCTGTGCTGAGTAACGATAAATAGTGTCGACTTTTAACGCAGTACACTGTGCGTGACCTCACTTTACCTGGTTCTTAAGATTAACATTTGCAAGAATACTATCGTGTATATTGTTTAAATCTCTAAGGTTTGTGAGAGTTAACAAGATAGTGTTTAGCCTACAGGAGGTTTTGTGTGGTGGGGAATTATTCAGTGTGGATAATGTAACATTCACCTACGACGTTTCCAATTGTCACTGGAGATTTTCATCAGGTCACTTTGAAAGTGTTGAACGTTTTCTCCAAATAATTATACGTGAATAAAACTTGTTACAATTTCTGTAATAAATATTTAGTTACTGCTTTACTCAGAACAATTAAAATACATTTTCCTTGTCACAGTTGTTATGGTGTGAAGCCTTTGCTGATGACGTGTGATTGTAATAAATGGTACTAGTCATAAGACAATAGAATCAGATTTATTGTATTTTTAATAATATATTCTTTATTCGATCACTTACATTTTTTCTTTTGGAGAAAAACGGTATATAAGAGTATTTCATCCTTATCGTGGCCGCCGTGGATATGTGGTTGAAATAATATTTTACATTCTTATTCTCAGAAAATACCGTAGGGAACCAAATAAAGAATAAAGTGTTAAAAAAGGCTAATGAGGCTTAGTCTTATGGCAAATATAATTTATTATAATTAATTTTCACTAGCAAAAATGTTCACACCATAGAAATTTCTATTCTAACAAATGGATTGTATAAATAGAGTCTCGATCACTACAGTATTTATTGTATTCCAACTGGCCTGATGAGTTCTGTTATTGAGCAATATGCATCGTCAGTAATGGATATTGTAGATGTAGTGCGGTTGAAATATTATTATACACGCTTAATCTAAGAGAAAGACGCAAGGGACCAAATGAAGAATTTGATGTTAAAATACAACAATCCTTTGTCTTTTGGCAAATATAACTGATTCTTCTCATTGTTGTTCTTGTCATGCATGCTTGTGATTCTATTAGAATCAGAAATTTATATAATGTTAAAATCATACTATTTTGATATATATATGTGTGTGTTATACACATTTACTATTTCTTTGTGTACCCTATTATATCATGAATCCTTTTCATCTAAGGGAAATATAAACCTAAAACTAATCAAGTCAATAATATAATAATTTACAAGGGCAATAGCAGTACAAAACGATATTCATTTATAGAAGATGCTTCAATTTACCTCATTCTGACTTTCAATATATTTAATACAGCCTCAAGACAAAACCCAAAGATATACAGCCTCTCCTGAAACTGGTCTACACACTAAACAACAAGAAAAGAACTCTGGACAAAGTAGTCAAGATAATCCAAAGAGAGGTACAGAGGAAGAAGACCAGCCTATAATACCATCGATGTCTGTACTCAATAACAAACAAGAAAGTGCCGTATAACTAGAAGATCAACAAATGATATTTTAAGGCAAGTTTCAGTAAACAAAATTGATACAACCCAAAACCTGGATGTACTTAAGCTTGATGGAACCTCTGTAACAATCTATATTTTGAAAATTTGTTACGTACCATTATTGTTCAGCTAGATTTAAAAGGTTTGATGCTATATTTTTCTTCAAATGTACGTCAAAGAAACAATAGTAACTGGTATTTCTATTTGTATTAAAACTTTATATATATATGAAAAACTTGGGATAAAAAATCTGAAACTTTGTGACTATATTATTGATGCGACACTAGAAATTACCAAGTCACAGCATCACTTCGTAATACAGTAATTTATTATAATAGGTGTGTCGGAAATCTATGCTTCTGAAACTTTTTGCTATTTTCTTTGCATTCTTTCATCGCCAGAGGCATAGTTTCTTCTCTTTTTTTATGTTTTTCTTTACAGATCCTGATTCATGCGAATCATGATCAATCGCACATTTGGATCCTTAGAAGTCGTTCCACGCGACTCTTATCTACCAACCGTTAGCTATCCTGTTGTCCTTCGCGGTTACTGGAAGTAAAAGAAAAAAACTGACTCATCCAAAACGTTAACAAAGTTGGAGCTTACAAGAATGATTCTAGTAAAGAGTAGGAAAATACTGACTATTACATTTCAATATTGAGAATGTATCCATCCTTCACGATAAAAGCTGCTTCATGAGGAAAGTGACTTCTTATGCTGTAGTAAACTAAAATACTTTCATATCAACAGCTTCCGTTACACGTTAAATTCCTATAATTATTATTGTTTAATATTCCACTGTAATTTGCTTGTTTTGTTTTTTGTTGTTTTTGTTTTTCAGTGGTCGGTACTATTTATTAAACGAAAACGTCTAAAACAAACTTAACATTCGTCAAAGCCTTTTACCACTAGAAAAAGTTTAAAGTTTTGTTTTAATTTGTAATTGCACTATTGATACGGGGCCTTTCAATAGGTAAAAAAAGATGATCAGCGCTAGCCTATTGTTCAAATCATAAAATTTACGTAAGGCCTAGGGAGAAAAACTATAGAACATAATAAACGCTTGGACATGCGCATTTGAAAGTTGCAAAATTTTGATATAAATATCAAACCAAAATAATTATAATTGACTTTCAGGTCTTGAATCAAATGTGTATTTTATCACTACACATTTACAGCAAAAAATTCCAATAACTTTCTATAATAATTATCGCAACCTGTACACGGATATCTAAAGTTTAGAGAAAACAGTTTCATTTTACACTGATTTTTATTTCACCCAGATATACATGTATGTACCGCTTTATCGGTGAAGTGAAATATTTATTGAAAGTCAGTGATATGGCTTATATGCTATATGCTTTTCATAGAGTTAGGATATAAATTAACCGTATGTGCTTAGATGTGGAAAAAATATGTCGGTATTTTCCAGTGTAAATCACATAAATAATAAAATATCTCCATTTTTACAACAGACAATATACAATGTATTAATATCTGCTCTATGCTTCATTCACAAAAAAAAGTTGTCACAATGCAATAGGATTTGCGAAACGAATCTTCGCGATGTTTTTTTTTATCAAGAATCAACAGACATCAACCATCTCAATAAGAAAATACAATAACGTCTATAAAAATTATTGCGACTCGCAAAAAACTATCTAGCTTTTAGAAATATAAAGTCAGTATTTTCACTGAACCTTATTCAGCTCCATAGTAACCTCTGGAGGCTGACACAAAAGTCTATTTCATTGTATCAAAATTTATATTGATGTTTTTCTTTTAAATTTCCTATCATGCGTAGAGATGCTTGTGTGTGGTATTTGTGATAAAAAATGTCTATACTTTTAATTAGTCAATAGAACGTATTACATTTGCAGCATTTGAGAATTGTGTTTTTGTTCTAAATATGTTGTCCCAGTAAGAGATGTTTTTGTATAAAAGTAAGAAGATGTCTTAGTTTAGACCAAAACATGGGATTTGGTCCGTAAATGTAACTACTGCTTAATAATGGGCCCTACTCTGTAACTGTAATTAATTCTTAATATTCCTTTTGTATAACTTAACTAACGAAATTCATTTAATCATAAAACTTTCTTGTTTAAAACAGATAGGAATTGTGACATTTTAACTAATTTCGTGTCGATATCTATTTATCTCTTTGCATTAGTTACGTGTTCGTCATTTGACCAGTCCTTTTAATCAAACTGTGATATTTTTATAGACATTTTGGCCATAAGTTAATGAAGCTGTTGATAAGAAAGTACTGGTAATGATGTGCTACGCTATTTGATAGTTTTTTCTTCAATCAAGATCATAAATAACCGAAATATCTGGAATGAGATTGCATATAAAAATAGGAAATTTTATATGTTGTCCGAATTCTACAAATATGACTGCTTATACACAAATTAGAAAACGTTCTCCAGTATTCATTAATGTTATTTTCTTTCGTATTGAGCACTCCCACGCTAAAATAAATGTTTCACATTGTTGTGTATTTGAGTGTTTGTGTTCTTCCTACTATTAGAAAGACTGACCAATACAATAGTATTGAATCACTTTGCTAGAGTAGCAGTTGTTTGAATGGGACGTTTATTGTATTTCATTTTACAACCAAAACCACTTTTGAGTTCAAAATAGATTTAAGGCTACAGATACTATACGTTAAAGTACATCTGACTTTATATATCTGTTTATTAAATTTGAGCTTAAGTCGCGTAATACTGGTTCATTATCAAAATCATAAAACGACTCACTGATAGCATAAACTTGATTTTCTTTTTCTCATTTTTAAAGTTCACATTAATCTTTGATCGAAGCGATATAAAAGCTATGGTCAATCATTCGGTTCAAAAATCCGGACAACGTATTTATTGAAACTAACACTTTAAAATTATCAACGTTCATATCAGAAACTTAGGGATTTTTAACCCGCCCGTTTATTTTCTCAAATACCTTTCACTCACGATTGTTTTCAAATGTTTTTCTAATCAGTTTCTGTATTTTAAAAGCCGTATCAAACTACTAAGTACTGTAGTACTTATATCTCTTTCAAACGTTTCTTGGATTTTTTTCAGTCGAACATTTGTTGTTATAAGAATTACAAAAGACATAACCCAAAGCATTACTAAGGATGTAATCTATAATGAGAAAGAAGAAAAGAAACAGCATACTTATTAGCAATAAAAGAAAGTTAGTATGTTTGCAAATTGATTTATATATACGCTGATCTGATAATGTTTTCAATAAAACGTTTATGGGACACAACATATATTTTCTTCACATCAATACATTATTAAATTTGTACGTAACATGTCTTCTCTTTACCATACAAAACTAAAGGAAAATCATAAAAGAAACTCAGGTTTCACAATTACATTTTGCAAAGAAGACGTGGAAAACTTTAGAGGAAACCTGGTTATCTTTTATTTCCTAAAGTAAATTAGAAATAATATACATAGAAATGAGGTATTTCCATTAAGATCTTGTTTTATTACACTTTTTTAGATTATGCTGGTACGTTCAAGTGTTAATAAAGTACGTCATTCACTGTAAAACTCGTGTTACTGTTTTAATTTAAGTTTAATACGGGTCTGGTCCCATATTAAAAACCAAGTTATGTAGTTAAAGTCTCCCAGTGGGCGGTAGGTTTATGGCTTAAAACACTAAAATCCGGGGTCCTATTCCCCACGGATAGCTTATTGTGCAGCATTGCACTAATTAAACACGCGTTGAAAATATTTTATTTCTTATTCATCATATAATTTGACTTAAACAATCTATACCTCAACAGGAATTAAATTGAACTAATGTACATAAGCATCTTTCATTTCAGATCACCACATTACTCGATTTTCCCCCGTAATATTAGATTAACGTTGTTTAAGAATTTTCTTTGAGGATTAGGAGTTAATAATAAATTTGTTCATAAAGACTAGTGTTATAAACAGTTTATGTTATTAAGTCTAACAGCAGCTAGAGAAAGAAATTATAACATATATTTTACCTATTATCTGCATGATTAAAAACGTAACGTGTGTAGGTGCGCCATCTGCGTGCGTAGGAAATTTTTAAACTTCATTAAAATATACAAAAAAAGGGAGTGTTTAGGTGTAGATAGTACTGCGCATTGCAAATGGAAAGGTATTTGAGAATGGATCTGTCATACCTCAGGGTCCTATCTTAGACAGGGGTGTTTATGGGTTAAGGTTTTGTGTGTGACGTTCTTCAATTGTTTATAGACATTTAGAGTAACAGTACCTTCACCCTGTTGAGTTTTAATACTTACCCCGATACCCAGGTTTTGATAGCGTCACTTGATCTGGAGTGTCTTACTAGATAAGTTGATCGGTTTGTCATTTTTGCTCAGACAACTCAAAGTGTGTTGTTTTTGCTAGAGGTGTTTGGTGATTATAAAGTGTTGTGGAATAGGTTTAACCAACTTATAGTAAATCGCATTCATTGAGACGCCACGCACGACCATCGGATTCGTTCAGAACTCTACGTACTTAACTTCATAAGTGAGAAGTCTAGACAGATCACTTAACTGTATTACTTACATTTTATAAACTTTGTGCATTCAAATACAAAATGCCACAACAACAAGAAAAAATGTTTCGTGTGCGAAAGTACGAACTTTACCCCCAGTAATCTATTAGATTACAATATATAATATAATGAAATCAAGAAAGTGATTTAACATTTATCGTAAGACATCTGTATCTTATAGTGAAATACTCTATATACGTTTAAAATTTAACTGAAGAATAATTCTAGACAACATTATCCAATGAATAGCACTCTTAGTGGATAATAAGACATCTGTATCTTATAGTGAAATACTCTATTTACGTTTAAAATTTAACTGAAGAATAATTCTAGACAACATTATCCAATGAATAGCACTTTTAGTGGATAATAAGACAGCTGACCAAATCACAGTTGGAATCATAAGTTATTAAAAAATGAAAATCAGCTATTGGTATCCAATAAAAAACACACTTCTATTGATATTCGTTATTAGAATCCACTCTTCAAAAATAAAAAAGGGTGATCGATCGAGCATCTAAATGATATTTAACTACTTCTTTAATAAATTTCATCAGAACTGTCTTATATATCATCAAAATAGCATAATATTTTCTTTGTTCCAAGTAATGCTAAATAGGCTAATATTGGTAAAGATTTACCTAATTTAATCACATTACTCAGTGCCACGTGTCTGTTTCTTTTCTTATCAGCAGCTCAAAAGTAGTTGAATCCTAGGTGTTACTAAATTAATTAAACTCTATACGAAAATGTTCCAGGTTGTGTTCTGTCATTGGAAGTATTTATTCCATCGTCAAACACAACCATTCTGTCAGCCATCATTACGTACTATTGCTCGACTTTACAGTTTCTGTTCTACAAAGGAGACCAAGCTCGATCTAGCATCTTGAAACTTTTTAAAGATCACAGTATGTGGAGTTGTCTTCCAAGACCATTTTTAAGCAGACTAAAGTCACAGAAGTCCACTGGAGCTTGACTTGGAACTTAACAAGTACATGATCAAAGGAAATTCCAGTTTCACAGACCATTTTCTCAAGAAAAAAAAAACTATTTATTTCGAGGTGTGACTGGAAACCTGTAAACGTGTGGTTTCTAAGGCTTCACTACACTTAAAATATTTGTTTACAGCACAAAAAAAAATGCGACTAAGTAATGGATGTTTGGATCGGAGGATTATCTTAAGAAACCATAGTCCTTACTTTTGGAATGAGTGTTTTGTTTCAGTTACAGTTGTAGTATAGGTTTTGGAGCCCGCTTCTGTACTAAGCGCTCTGCTATACGAGATTTTACCACTTCTATAAAGAACAATGAATACTCACTTCTTCAAAATGTTGGGTTATTTGGCCCTACTTCGTTTGATAATCTTTTTATGTGAACATATTTCTTCAGGAAACGCTGTGACATAATTATCCATTCATAATGATTACCATGACAGCATTGCAATATCGAATGGTCGGTATTCACCGTGAACAAAATATATGGATGTTAAACATGTCACCAGTGGCGTCACGACTAGCTTCTGCGGCGACAATCCACTGTATTAGCACACCCAAATTGTTCTTATAAAATTCGATTAAATGTCTACAAGCAACTCCCTATTTTACGTATACCTTTTGTTATGTTTAATTTTTACTAATCAAACTGCTTTGTTCTTTATTTTTCGCAGATAGTTCGACGTAATTGAAAATCCTTAGTTTAAGTAGTTCGTTTCAACACCAACTATAATTTTGTGCTTTTCAATTTATTTTGGTTGTTTAGTCTCTACTATTGCTTTTAAATTCCTTTGTTTATTGTTGTTTTTCGTTGGACTAGATTTTTTATCATTTTCTAACCCATAACATATGTTGTTTTTTTCTAATTCTGATTTCTAATTTCTTTTGTTAAGGAAACCTAAAAGCATTAGAAGTTCGAAAGGGGAAAATATTATATCAAATGAATATTCTGAATAAATTCTAAGTTCAACGCTTGCTTGAGTGTTACCTGAACGACAACTTATGCACACAAAGGGTTAAACTGTGGGTCAAAGTTCAAGTAAACCGGATCTAATTTTGAACTGCAGATCATGGGGGAAGGATGCACAACCTATTAACATGTAGTACGACTGTTACTTTTACAACGCATCCATAGCTGAAAATGTGAGGAGTGTTTAGCTGTACCATGTTTTGGTCACTCGAACCTCTAGATTCAAAATTGCTTATATATATATATATATATATTATATTTTAGTATAACATAATATGCACACAACATTTAAAAACGATATGTTAGTAGACTTTGTATTATAGACTGAAACAAATAATAAAAACATATTAATAATAAGAAAAAACACTGTGAACTGAAACAAACTGACATTTTTGTACTGCAACGTAACTACTTCCTCATAATTCCTCCGAACACACTCCACTGATAATTATACCATTTTAACACTCTAACACTTAAGATGTACTTTTTTAAAACAAATTTCTCCATCTTGACCAAATCAGTTAAAATAGTTTCTAAAACAATATCAGAACAATATTTCATACATAAGTTAAGTACTTTATTTATTTACTTATTTGTAGGAGTGAAAAAGACCTATGATGTTATTCCTCTCACTTAAATCGGTTGTCGACATATTAGCTATATTGACTACCGATATACAAATTATATAACTTATTTAAGACATTTGATACCTATATTATCTGCATACTGTATTTTTAAAATATATATATATGGGAAAATCAATAATATTTAGATTTTGATTTTGATACAATTTAGAATACGCGAAATGTCAAAGAGATGTTATCTTTGAACACAGTAGGTTGAAGTATGAATTTTCGAATCGAGTTGACTATAAGCTTGTGTTTAAGTGTGCCTTTCACATTTTGAGTAAATACCATTTATTTTAATGGATTTTTTATATAGATTCCTATTTCAAATAATTCACGTACTCCTACTAGTATATGAA